AGATTAGATATATATAAAAAAGAAAAAAAATAAATATATATATATATATATATATATATATATATATATATATATATATATATATATATATATATATATATATATATATATATATACACACATACATACATACATAGATGTATGTATGTATATACGTATGTACATACATACATACCCTTGTTTATCATACAGGGTATGTATGTATACCCTGTATGATAAACAGGTTATGTATGGATCCACAGCGTATGGATGGATCCATCCATCCAACCATGGATGGATGGATGGATGGATTACGGCCGTAAGCAGCACAGGAAAAATACTGTCTGCGAAAGCTGGTTGTAAGTTTTGGCACATGTTGTCAACATGTTTTCTTTAGAGATTTTTGTTTTTATATCGCTTTGAAGAAAACTTATAACTAATCTTATTTTAAAATAAAACGGAACAAAAGTGTAGACCTGATGTCTGACTTGTTAGAGTTGATCCTTCAGTGCAGAGCACATTAAAGCATTGTGCATGAGCAAATGTCACAATACCTCACGTGTTTGTCTAGTGTACTGTATACTGAGAGCACACTTGTTCAACCATCTGTATTTGGATTTATCATCTACATCTATATTTATTCTTAGGATGTAGATTTACGTAAATGCTCATCCAAACATTCAGTCCTTGTGAAAAAAAAAAGTGAATGTTGTCAGTGAAGGAATCCAGCACATCATATATCTCATTAGGGAATATGTGCATGTGCAGCAATCCACCTACAAGACCATCTGGGACGCTGATTTACCCTTGCACTGCAAGACTAATATTTGGGCTAATTAGCAACTGGAGGAACAAGAGGAAGGGGAAGGCGTTTGGGATGCATGTAGGAAAATTGCTTTGTCTGCTTAATTAAAATCTCTCAAAACAGGACGAATAGCTCCATGCTTCTTGTCTCAAGCTCCACCTCCTGTTCCTTCCAATCGTTGCTGTCATCCTCCTCTACCATATGCAGTAGCTGTATTTTGCCACCGGGTGGTACACCATGCATGGCTAAGTGAGAGTTGGGGTAATTTTTCTGACAGCTCCTCAGCCTGCTGGTGTCTGCTTCATCCTACCAGTGCAGAGGCAATCTGGAGCCATCAAAACAGCTGGCAGCGCGCCAGGGCCCATCCGTCCCACTGCTCCCACTCACACTTTCACTAATGCCGGTCTTACACAAAAGAACACAGACAGCCAAAGAATGAAAGTTGGACAGACAAGCAGAGATGTCAGAAGACTTTCAAGTGTTGAGAGAGATGACAGAAGGTCAAAATAGAGGAAATTTCACAAGCTTCGCTTGCAAAGCTTGTTGAATTGACTGTTTTCTCTTTCTGATTTTAGACAAAGCATTTTACATGTATGGTATTTAAATCCAAGGACAATTTCAGGAAAATTACATTTTCTTTCTTGACCAATTTCTTAGTTAAATAATTCCTATCAGCTGGAATAGAAATACTTGTAAAGACTGTATGAAGAAACATAACTGGCAGCATCTTTGTAAGACAGAGAATTTTTATCTTTGCAATTTCTCAATAGAAATAATGTTATTTGCAAATTAACCAGAATTTGATCTTGAGGAAGGACTATATTAATTAATAAGATTAGCAATTAAAGTGAACTCCTAAGCAAAGAAAAGGCAAAATTAGACAAATTATTGTATTGAACTGTAGAAACAAAGAAATAATAAAAAAAAAAAATACCAGGCTCTCTCATATTGTTATAAGGCAATCCTACTAACATGCAAAATTAAAAAGGAAAAGAAAACCTTCTGATTTCATTGCAATCTTAGACTATTACTTTCTTAGTATTAAGCTGAATAACCAAAGAGTTGGTACAAGTTACATTGTTAAAATGTTTATGAATTTTCTACAAAGCCTCTTACCACAAGACTGCCACTTTTAAGGTCTAAAGATCAGGGAGTGTAAGAAGAAGTCATGCAGTCTACTTTTACTGTGTGTATCATATGTAAGGTTTGATTCAATCAGTAGTGTAAACCTATAAATCCATATAAAAATCTGAACAAACAAGTTTAAAAATATCAACTGTTTTAGGACTCCCACTTTCAAAATTGCAAGTTGGAGGAACTCGTTTAATGTTCTGAGAAGCAGCAGTTCAACTCTCTGCTTCCCACAGAAATCATTTCTGCAAGGTCAGGGGTAACTCTGCTTTAGCCAATACATAGGAGTCTAATATTTAGCTGTATGACACTCTATTCTCCCATTTCTCTTCTCTGGTGGAGACACACATAAGTATTCTGCACAGGGGCTGGTCATGAATGAATGGTTTGATGAGGCTAATGGCTGGCAGAAGACAGCCAATTTAAGGGCTGGTGTGCATGGTAGACGTGACCAGCAGTGTCTCAGTGGTGCATCAGTCACCTATCACTCAACATGGTCCCGCCTCAGCCAAAAAAGATTCCTGACTCATGATGTTGGCATATTTTCTAGCTCTCTATACTCAACAGTATTGGACGTTATTCCTTATTTATTTGCTGTATTTGATTTGGTGACGCCTAGTCCATCAGACAAAGTAACCACCTGAATGACTGGCTTTTGAAATCCAAGATGAACTTAAAACATTAGCCCGTTTAATAATAAGCTCCTTATGTATTGTCAATATTCACTGCACAACTGCTATTTGTTGCCTTTAAAATTACCCTGATTCTTGGCATAGATGCAACTAAGTTTTGAAAACATTTAAGGTTTTGAAGACGGTTCATATATCAAGATAGCATCAGCTGCTGGAGCTTTTGACTAGATGTCGAGGTTAGAAATCCCCCTTCCCTTTCCATCACATTCCAAGATGCTCTACTGGCATGATAGGATCCAGTGGCCACAGAAGGCCAGTGGACTCATTGTGATATTCACAAAACCAGTTTGAGATAATAATAATTTTGTGATATGGTGCATTATCCTACTCAAACTAGGATAACACACCTACTTTGAGTACAATTTGGTCATAAAGAATAGTAAGAACTTGTCCCTCATCAGTCTCTACAATACATGGCAGGGCAGATGCATGTGTTTTTTTTTTTTTTGTCAAATTCTAACCCTAAAAGTTGAACAATTAATTGAGACTAATTGCACCAGGCAAGGTTTCCCATATCTGTTGTTCAATCTCCATGAGCCTGGGTGAATTATAGCCTCACTTTGCCGTTCTTAATGGCACCTGGTGTGATCTTCAGTCACTGTAGCCCATATGTGTCAGGGTTCAACTTATTTTGCCTTCAGATACAGTACTCCACATACCTTGGTTTAAACAAATGGTTATTTGAACAGTTACTGCCAATCTATCATCACTAGCCATTCTTCTTGTGTGTTCAGAAAATCCAACAGATACAGCATGTTTCTGTCCTCATGGACAGTTTTGACAAATCTTTATAAACCCTAAAAGATATTGTGAATGAAAAAAACCTCAGTGTATCACCGGTTTCTGAAATATTGAGATCAGCTGCAATGCATTTCCTATTTCTTCATTCTGATCCACGATTTCAACTTGAACAAGTTATCGTCAGCACATGAAGATCCCTAAATGTACTCAAGTGCTGTTATATATTTGTCTGCCATGCTGGTTGTATCTGTAGCTATAAAATAACCAGCAGTGTTTTTCTCTTCCTTTTGTGGTTTTGTGTACATGAATAATCATTTATTGCCAAGTGAAAATCTGGTCCTGAGAATTTCCCCTGCAGTCGCATTTATGACATACAGAAATATAAATGTTTTTGCAGGTGAATAAAACTGAATAGGTGCGATTTTATCTCAAGATGTGTCCCGTTAGGCTTTCATGCTTTGCAATACCAAAGAATTCACAACCAAGGAATACACTTGTCAGCTATATGGATAAAGACTATCCCAACTGAGGATTCCAAAGTTATAAAGGTTACGAGGAAGAAAAGATGCAAAACAAAGTCCTACCTCTTTCACAGGAGCGTCCCAAGTATCCAGTTCCAGAGCAGTCGCAGACATAGCGGTTCCAGCCCTCTCTGCAGACCCCATTGTTTTGGCAGGGGTTGCTCAAGCACTGCTTAGGAGGCTCTTTAGAGCATGAGGGTTTGACCCCAGCTGCCTTCTGGATCTCTGCAAGACGTCGCACATCCTTACTCTGTCCGTCGATAAATAAATCTCGAATGCAGCCCACGTAGCCATAGTTGAGCAATGCTGTCCACACCTCAGTGGGGAAGACGAGGCCCATCTTGTTCTCTGGCAGACCCCCAAGGTACAGATTGTCATCCAAGTCCAAGATCTCACTTTCTCCAGGGGCTGTGTAAGCAGTACGAAGGGTATTGATGGAGATAGTACCTAAAAAGAAAGCAATAAAAAGATACAGTTGGATGAATAAAACCTGTTATGTGAGGCTGTGTATCAGGTTATAAAATATATTGATGTCTTTGGATGCAAAAAAAAAAAAGCAGTTTGGTCAAGATACAATCTTGCAAGGAATGCCAGTTTCAACCCAGTTTAATGAAGAAATTAGCTTAATTAGGGTTATACATCTGAACAGGGTCAGGATTTTCTTCATTTAGAATGACGGATGGCTGTTGATAAAAGTTATTAATCACAGGCCGCTGGTCAATTAGAAATCTAATCTGGGATCCCTGAGAGTATCCTCTCCATTTTCCTTGGATTTCCCCTAATAAATCTTCTTTATCTATAAAGCAGTGGTCATAAAAAGAAAAGTAAGGAAAAGAAAAATCATCGCCCTCTTTATCATTGCAGATGTCCTCTACCACCACCCTATCCAAAAAAGTGGGGGTGGGGGACAACATCGTAACCATCTTTTTGAACTTGATTAACAGACTGCAGGCTGAGGTTTTTTCACCCTGTCTGTGCCTCTCCAACACATAAACCTGCAGTGGGAGTTTGTGTGTTTCTTGGCCATGATTTATCACTCTCATTCAGGTTTAATTCTCGATCTGGAGCACCGTAAACAACAGCGGACATGACTGGACTGTAAAGCTTCAAAAAGGGAAGGCCTTACTGTGGGACTCAGACCGAGTGATTAATTTGTATATGGATCTGTCACTCTGAGCGCAGGACCCATTGTGGACTTTAATTAATGGCGGCTGCCTCGTCTGCCCGCATCCACATCGAGTAATCCATACACTGTGCTGCCGAAGATCAGCACAAGCAACGGCAGAGAAAAAAGTAGGCTAAGGATGCTCGAAACTACAATTGCCATAAAGTTATAATTTGCATTTTGAGTGGCGGAGGCATGCCTTGGCAGATATGAAAGAGCTATTAGCAGACTGCTTCGGGCTAAATGGCAAGACTCCAGTGTGTGTGATAGGACCTCAGCTTCAGATGACTTTTCAAGTCAAACTGCGTGTGCTTGGAAACAAGCCCTGAGCCACAGATACATTTTCAATACGGCTAGTTGACATAATTCAAAATAATAATTAGACATTAAAATGTGCTTTTCACATTTCATTACAATTGTTAGCATGTTTGACTGTATAAATCACAATGATGTAATTAATGCATTTATGTTTTTTTTCTTTTGTTATTGCAATGTTTTTCAAACATTTTATCCAACAGAAATTAAGCTCTTTAGAAATAAAATGTAATAAATGTAATAAAATCTTGATTATGCATGCACTTTATAGTCAAGGTGAGTCAGCCTACTCCAAAAAATGCATGAGAGAGAGACAGCTAAATACCTAGTGCACAATGATTAACCTGGTGCACAGTAACATGTTCCAGCTCTCTTCTCAGGGTCTTGGCCCCAGGCATCTGTTCCAAGCACTTTCCTGCCGTCACCCACTGCCCCTGCTCTCTCCAGCACCAGCTGTTGAGACTTCTAAGCTCTGCACACTTGGCATGGGCCACCCGTCATGCAGCCAGAACAGCTCCCTTCAGGTTACAGCTAACGAGCTCACTACATCAAACTCATTAGTGAGAAAACTTTTCCCAGACTGCAGGTGCCCAGCTGAAGAATAAACATCACTACGATGAGGATGAATTGTGACATAAGTGTCTACACTCTCAGTTCTGACATGTCTCACCCTGTGGAAGTAGGAAGTGATTTGGATGATTGGTCTGTGAATAATACATTTACAAGGTAAATACTGCAGGGGTCATTATCAAGCTAATAGCCCCTTATCATAATCGGTCCATATCTATACTTACTGAACGTCTCACAGTCACTTGCAGTCGTAGGCAGCTAGCAAAGACATTGTGTTCTTAGAGAATATGCTGTTCTAAACTGATCTTGGCTTAAGCTGATGCAAGTGGAAGATGGTTACCATCATCACTGAGGCCTCATACTCAGGCTGCTCTGCTCACTTGTCATAGTCCTCCAAGGAATTGTGTAAACACAGTCAAACTATGTTATGTCTGAAGCCTCACCAGAATCCTATGGAGACATGAGCCAGTGTCTGGCATGAACCATGGGAAGCGCAACACATATATAAAGATTGAAGGACAGGAAGTGTTTTGTGACATTAGCAGGCAAAATGGGAATATGAGACAGATTTATTTTATCAAATCTATTAATGGATGTAAAAGAGTAATAGGTGATTATTGTGGTGTCTTAATGACAAACACTTACAGAAATAATATGCCTGCAAAAGTAGCTGTGCATTTAGTTCAGGAATGTAACTGGACCATTTCAAGATATGGATATGCGTAGATCTAAACTAGGTGTGTCTGGTTGCACTCATCCAGGCATGCTGACCTACTGAACTAAGATGTGACCTTACTTCAACAAAGCTGATTCCAATGTCAAAATTACACTCTTACCACGAGCCTGCCTCTACTCAAGAATCACTCAGGTTATTTAAGCGTGCTCAATCAGGACAATATCTGAATCTGAAACATGTAGGACACTGCTGAAGACTAACTTTGTAAACCATGGATCGTAACAATTTTACTGTAGCCCTGGTAGTGTGTTTAGGGCTATTATCCTGTCGGAAAATAAACTTCTGCCCCAGTTTCATGTCTTCAGTTTTTCTTTCAGATTTCCTCTGTATTGAGCAACATTCATCCTCCAATGGTCTCTGACCAGTTTCTCTGATTACTGATTAGGTGAGTTAAGGCAATCGGTTGCACTCGATTATATTAAGGACACATTTCTAGTTCTCTCTCTCTTTCTCACTCTCACATTCTCAGCTAGCCCGCAAGGAGCACTTTATTACCAAACCGTATCACAGGGGTCCAAAAGACAGCTCAGATCTCTCTCACACCTTCTGCATCAGCAGACTGGCTGAACTTGGCATGAGATCCTGTAACCCCTCTCACATATCCCCAAAACATGTTAGACAGGGGATTACTGCAATCCAGTTAGGGCGGTACGGCCAAGTCTCCCCGATGTGATTGGATTCTCAGCGGGGAAAGAAGCCAGTAAGGTGGCTGTGAGGATGAAGAAAGTGTTGTCTACATTTCTGCTTGCTCTGTATCTGTTCCTTTACTCTTTGTGGGCATGTTTCAGTTTGAAGCAGTGGTGTGTGTGTGTGTGTGTGTGTGTGTGTGTGTGTCCTCAGTTGAATCTCTATGTAATGTCCCCGGTGAGAAACCCCAAGTACTTCCAGCCAAGAGCACAGCGCCTTGTAGCATCACTAATGCAATGAGGTTAGAATGGCTTTAAAAAGCAGATGTCTATTTGCCGGTTTGGTTCCAGTTGGAATAAGCTAATAAATCAAATTGGGAAGAGATCATTATTTGTAAAAGTCACAGTTGCTGTAAGTGTTGCTCATAAAGGATCGAGGTGTGAATACTTGTTTCAGGTAGCGTATGCTTGGTAGTGTGTATTGATAAAACACAAAGCATAAATGAAAAGCTTTGTGTATTGTGCTTTCAACAGACTTATACATTCTTTTCTTGTGATTTAAAATGATCTATATTCAGTCAAATATAAAAAGTACATGATAGGAACACTCTGTAAAGGATGGCTAGTCTTTAAGAACAAGAGTAAGGACAGGGAATTTATTAAGTACTACACGCAACTCTCAAAGGATGGCAAAGATTTTATATACCGGTTAGGATATGTCTTTCTGTCTGAAGGACTGGTAGTTATGTTACTGTTATGCTACAAAATTGTTGTGTTGTTTTGTTGTGACGGCATTTCTGGATTTAGGAAGATTCTTGATTGTGATAATCCGTGGCCTCTTGACATGTTGGTCATCAGAAAATTTGAAGCAGAAGTCCATGGCAAAGCTGCTTCCTAATCGTGGCCACATCAAGCTGGCAGTACTCCAAGTTGTCACACTTTTGTACCATTTTGGAACCAGGGCTACTAAGCAGATTAGGTTTCCACCACTGCTCTGGCTGCAACAAGAAACATTTTAGCAAGCACTTAAAATTAAGAATTTATGGACAAAAATAGTAAACAAAAAGCACTGTGCTCTTTGCTTCCAGTGGAGTAGGGCTTCTAGCTGTGCAAACACCTCCAAATTGCAAATACCAGAGCAGATGTAATACCTCTGATGGCAGCACTGTGATGATTTAAAAAAAAAAAAAAAAAAGCAAAAGGGGAAGAAGTATGTGCCGAATACTAATATCACAGTAGGCTCATGCTTGCCTTCATATTGAAATGAGGTTTTCCGTCCTACTTTAACACACTCTTGGGCAGCCTGGAGTCTGTGGGCAGCTTTAATCTGATGTAAAACTGTATGATATTTGTACCTAATTTAGCCGTTATGTTCGTATGCTTTGGATTGATGTCTCTATTGCAAAAAGTATGTTTATGTCCCCTTTACACTCTATGGTAAGAACACTTTTCTACCAGACTTGAAGGGAAGAAGAACAGTTACTCTGAAATGTCATTAGTGTACAGCTCAGCACTGTGCAGCTACTGTCTTAGTCCTGGGAGAGACCACCTCCTGTTTCCATGGAAACTTAGGCAGAGTAGACAGAGAGAGCGGTGAGCAAAGAGAACTTGACGAGAGGGCTCGAGGTTGTGTGTGGATGTGTTAGAGTAAGTGAATGTGAGTAAGTATGTGGGGGTGGATGATAGGAGGGTACTAGACAGATAATGAACACAATCTAATTTAGTAAGACATTGTTTCTTATAGTTTGGTCTACCATAAGTAAATGTTGGAGATTTATGTTTTCGGCAAAGTCAGTTTTCCCTTTCCTCTAAGATGAAGAATACCACTCAGTGACTACTTTTTATAACGTGCAAAGAAAAATTGAGCTGAATATATATTTATTTTTCAGAAAAATCTAAATGCTTAAATTGACCAACACACATATTAATGTTAAATAGAAGATGGGCGCCATGATTTTGATTGTGTTTGAAAGATCAATTTATAACTGCAACCAAATATTGCTTTGGGGGATAATGAAACAGTTTAATCTAATTTCCACCTCTTGAGATGGAGTGGAAAACATGGTCAAAGGGCATATCTAATTTGCAGCATGACATTGCTAGACCCTGGCTTTAAGCTCACACTAACAAATTGCTGCTTCAGTAAGCAACTCAACATAGATTAGAGCAGGGTAGCTAGCCTCAGTCTTAGAGGACATGTTGAGCAAAAAGTTATTCTGCTTGAAACACGTGTCTGGGATCTCAGCATCGATTGACTGAAGCTATACATTTCAGAAATATTGAGAAGAATACAATAAGCTTTCAGTGAAAACTTAAGGCAGTGAAAAATAATGGATATTTTTCTTTTTTGCTAGAAGAAATACAAAGATGATCCACACGTAGCGTTTTGTGCCATGTTGAAAAAAAAATCAAGAACAACTGAGCTTTTGCTCAAAGTTTCAAATGAACTCAAAATCAACTCAAAAGGCTGCTCAATCAGGACATTTCCCCCCTCAAATGTCATTGAAGATCAGATCAGATTGCCAACATTAAGAGCTGAATTAGAATGAAAAAAGATCTTAAAGATAAATCTAATTCAGACCAGTCTTTCAGGTGAACTCTCCACAGTATTATGCCCCCAACCACATGATGCTGGTTGGGGGCATCATGTGACTCCAACAGAAGAGAAGCTGCAGTGGCTAACACAGTCTCTGAAACTTTAATTTTGTTTTAGTCTTTCAACTAAAATTATGTTTAGTTCCAGACGCAATACACTTCTTCAGTTTTTATAGTTTTAGTCTGGTATAATTAAACTAAGTCCCAATGCCATTAAGTGTACTGAGATTTATGGAAATTTCTTTCACGGAGGAACACATCACTTAGTGCCTTCTACATTTTTTAAGTTTACAAGTTGCATTTTGCTCAATTTTAGATGTCCAATTAGTAGTATTGAATAGCTTGCAAGTTTTTCCCGCAAATATTTTTGTCTAATTTGCAATTTCTTTACATACAGACTACACATTCTTTAAAGGTCTTGAAAATTACCTGATCTTCCATCTCGCTGGAAGTCCACATGGTACCATTCACCATCATTGACTTTTTTATTGACTGCTTTGGTCTTCGTGGTTCCAGAGCCCATATCCAACAGCAGGTACAGATGGCCGTCCAGCATCTCAATGGCAAAGAAGTCCACTTTAAGAGTTTGGGGTGTCTTGGAGTCCTTTGGTTGCTGTTTGGGCTTGCCATGACTGAAAAGTAGAAGGCCGTTGGGTTCGGTGGTGCGGAAGTCAAAGGAGATGGACCCCGTCTTTTTGGCGTTCCACTTGTTGAGAATAATATACGACTCGGGTGTCTCAAAAGTGATGGGGTCCAGAGTGGCTACATTCTCACACTTAAAGGCCACAGTGCCATGGATTTTCATCTTGGGGTCACCCTGCTTAGCCAGCCTAGACAACTCGAGCCTCACATCGTTGTTTTTATAAACAACCTGAAGAGGAGAAGGAGAGAATAAAATAAAATTACTTTTTCACAGTCATAAAGATATACAGTACAGCCTTGCAAAATGCAACAGTATGGAACAACTAATCTGCAGTTATCCATATCCATGTAGTTTTTAATCCCTGATGACAAGTGATATTTGCCCCCAAAGTTGGTCAGGTTTGTCAAACTGTATCTATAACTAAAGAGCTTCGCCTGCATAGAACCAAATGTCTCACTCTACACTTCCTATGCCTTCATGACAAGAGCACAGTGTACGCTAACTGACTGAAGGGACAAAAGCAATACATCTATTTTGATATTTACTACCGCAAAAACAAGTGAAGATCTCAATTTACAAAGCAACTGTGATAGTGGTTTAGAGGGGAAATTTAGGTAAAATGTCTTTAGAGTGTATGTGAGAATTGCGAGGAAAGGGATAAATCTAAACTACAGTCTTGTTCACAGGTCTTGTGTAAAATGGTGATTAAAGCCCTGGCTGGTGGTGTAATTACATAAAAAAAGTGGGCAGATGATGGATATGCCTTTCAAAAAAGGAGTGCATGAGCTTACTCATCCACTCTGCAGCAGTCAGTATTTTTCACTCAATTTAGAAAATTGATTAGGTGAAGATCTCTACAGGTTTTAATTCCACAACCTCTATACAGTATTTGTTTCAGGTAATGCTCTCAGACATTAAGACCCAGACCAGGTTTAGCATCAGTAGGATGCACTAAAAAGAGAGAATGGAATTATGATCTCTAGCTGTTGTAGAAAGAGGGTAGGAACTCAATGTCATTCATATTTAATGCCAGCTTTAACCTATCCAGGGTCACTGGGGTCAATTTTACTAAGTGTAAATAACTCTAAGGTGTACATATTGATTATGTCACTTGTAAAGGCAGTTTTAAACACATTGTAACAATTTTGGGTCTTATAATTATGCAATACTCTGTACAAGGCTAATTCATTAAATGGCAATAAAATACATTGGCGATTATATTGATATGACAAAATGTAAAAAAAAAAGTGTTGTGGTTGTAAATCAATTTGCAAGACCTACTGCATGTATTAGTAGTTACACTGGCTTATGGACGCATTTTTTTATTTTTTTTTATTTTTTTAGCAAGTTTAGAATGTGAGGTTAAATGTTTCATGAAGTTCTTTTGTAAATGTCAGTGATTGTTTCTGAATAAAATAACCGCTGCTATCGATCAGAACACTATACTGTGAACTAAGTAGGTAAACACAGTGTGTTTAGTTACACACTCAGTGGCACATTAATGTAATTGGCAACAGTCTTGAAATAAATAAATAAAATGAAACACACAGCCACAACCTCGTAATTATCCAATTTTCATGTCTGCTGCAGTTACGCAGCTGCCATTGCAGAAATCTGTGTAGTTATGAGTAATTTCCATTTGAGCAACTGATTAACATTTAGACAAATGTCAAAATGATTAATTAAAACATCAATGTGGTCTTCCTCTTTTCACCTCAAAGAAATAGACACTCATGTTTAAATGCGTGTCAATCAGTTTGCAATCAGTAGAAATTTATTGTGGAGGAAACAAAACTAAGAAAAAAAGACACAAACACATCATTTTTTGCAAAAGATATGAACTACAAACTAAAAGAGAAGTTGCATTAAATCTCTATTTGGGTCAAATCAGATAAACCCTATTTTAAAGGAAAAAAAAAACCTTGCTATTGTATTTCTTGTTATGGATAAGCTTCACATGAAATTGGGGACACTTCCTATGGGATTACATTGGCATAATGGGAGATGTTTATTACTATCTCATATATACTCTGCTTAACAGTTGAGGAAGATGTAGTTTGAAGCTGTGGATCAGAATTACTTAAGATCATGCTTGGATTTACAGAAAAGCCGCGAGACTCACTGTTGCGGAGTGCTGAACTGCATGAAAACCAGTAAATTGATAATGTGGAGTCTTTATTCCCACATATGTAACCTTATTTCTTATTTTCTACAACTCAGTGTGTTCTTGACTTAAATGGAAATATGTTGTTGTTGTTTTTTTTTTTTGTGTTTTTACGGTTAAAGAAAAGTAAATAGAAATAGAAAGGTCATCTTACCAGAACATCATGTCTAAAGAAAGAATGTAGAAAGGAGTAAAGGGATAAAGGATAATATCTCTGCCAGCTAGACTGGAGTCCCTGAGACAAAGTTGGAACGGATAAAGCCAATAAACCCAAATAAATTTTTCATAGTTAAGACAAAGGGCATCTTTCAAAGTTAAAGGAGCTTTGGTCAGAGCTACGCTTTGCTCTGCACTAGTAGTGCTGCACTAATTTGTCATCAAACCACAGTTGTGACAACTGAGCTATTACTGCGCCACCGTTTGTTTTGCCATCAGAACCAACAGGGAAGGCATAGCAGCTCAGGCTAGAATCTGCACACAAACACTGCAACAAAGCCCCATGGGGACACACCATCAATCAGGGAGTAGAGCACATGCTGGTAAACTGCATCTCGTATGCCTTTACAACATACTCAGAGGCTGACCTGTGATGGGAAACCTGTGTAATTCCACTGTATCAGCTGAGAGGAAGCTTACCAATGTACCAAAATGGCAAGGGATATATCAGTCAATAATCTTTAAGCTGCATTACAGTTTCATGAAATATCCATTGATCTAATTGGAGAAAAAAATAAATGTATTGCTTTATGAACTTCATTTTTATTTCTTTTTTGTAAATTGATATTTTGAAGAACATGGCTGCTGTAAAGCAGTCTTCTCTAGTCCTCAAACCTTTACCTTATAGAAGATGTAGAAGGCATATGAGAGTTTGAGAGCCAGCTTAGTCGCTTCATTGCCTCATGGATAAAGGAGCTACAGATACAGCTGGGTGAGAGATTCAGGTACTTTAAAATTAGAAATGAGCACAGTGAGTCCTTTCTAATAGCTGCTAATCCACTAATCATTTTATACACCCTGTAATGAGCCCTCATTTCCTCTCTCACTTTTATGACTCTGGCACCATAAAACACAAGTTAACTCATAACAATGCATTTTCTGTGACAAAGGACAAACCAGCAGATAATTTTGCATTCATTGTTCTTTTCTGTCAAATTATACGCAAGATGCCACTTTCCACCAGAACTTGGCTGACATCCGATTGTAAACTTTAAAGTTGTTGTGAACAGATCTCGGATAACCTCATCAGAAACATCACTGAGATCGAGACTGCTTTTCTGGGAAAACCCAAACGTCACTCCTCGTCAGCATCCTCAGTATTCTGCAGAGTTGATAGTCTCTTTACTTCGTGTGGAAAACAAGAGCCCTATGAAAAGTGAGGGGACCTGGGAACGTAATCCTGTGTTTCCAGGATCTCTTCTAGAGTTGCTCTGGGAACAGGACTTGACATTCTGGGAAAAACTGTACAATCTGAACTGAACATCGAAAGCAAAATCACCAGACTGCTTCACACTTTTCTGCCACAAGCTGTTGAGTTGCTGCTCTGCTGTTAAGATTGTGCATTTTATAAGTTGTATGTCTTTTTTTTTGTTTGTTTTAAACAAATTCTGCTTTCTTTTATATATCTATTTCAGGATTTTTTTTTTCACACCAGCATGTTACATATCCCAGAGAAACAATGTCTTGTTTTGCTGCTTGTTATTGAGTATCTTGCTAAATGTACTTAATTTTATTGTCTTCATGATTTGAGTTACTAAGTAGTAAATGCCCTGGACATGCACCATTTTTAATTTGGTTCTTATTACTCTTACATTTATGCTCACCAGACACCTTTATGAGCTTCATCTTGCTTGTACCAGGCTGGACCCCTTTTCACCTTCAAAATGGCCCTAATTCATCATGGAACAGATTCATATACTTGCCGCTGTAGCCCTCTGCTTCAGAGTTTGTCGTCTTGTATCTCCTGGATGATAGTCTGTATACTTTTACCTGTAAGTAGTGGTTATTTGAGCTTCCATTTCCATTTTATCATTTTGAACCAGTTAGCCCTTTCTCCTCTGACAAGGGCACATCTTTATCCACACAACCTCAACCTGCAACCTGCAGGATATTTTCTCTTCTCTGAAATGGCTGAATGCAAATATCCCAGTCCGTTTTCTGAAATACCAAGACCTGCTTGTCAGGCATCAACAACCACATCACGTTCAAAGCCACTTAAAACCCATTTCTTTCTTATTCTAATGCTCAGTTATGAAGTTGCCCTCACCATATCCAGATAAATAAATGCACTGAGCTACTGCCCTGTAATCGGCTTATTTACTATTTGTGTCAACAAGCAATTGGACAGGTTTGCCTGTTCTAACATTCTACTCAGTGCAATTTATTTTTGTATATAATGTCTTCAAAATGCTTGTCAATTTATCGACTGGCTGATGTGCTGCAGTCTTATTCAGTTGTAATGATTATGATAAAATGCACAGATTTAAAAGGCAAAATTGAATCATTGATGCAAAAAGAGAAATTTGGTTTACCCTTCTCATTCTGAACACAATGAACTCGTCTTCTGATCGCTGCTTCCAGCAGGTTAATGCGTATCATGTAACAAAACTCAAAGCATTTTAAAAAGATTTCTTAAACACCACTTAATTTCAACGAGTCTAATTCAGTAGCACAGCAGAGTTGCATCATAGATAGGCAGCTAACATATCTGTAACGACTGCTTGAAGCTACTATGTCAATGTAGAGCAAAATCTGCGAGTAGAATCTTGACCATGAAATAAGGCTGTTCTAAATGTAAAATCGGGTTCAACCTGGTAAATGCAAGGAGTGAAGTGCTTGGTGACAAAGTGTTGCTTATATTTGCAGTGTTTGTGTCACATTTCTAGCACTTGGAAGGCAAATTCCAGCTGACACTAAATATAACTCGGATAGAACAAATCCGAATGAAGATAGCGTCTCAGTCGGTTGTTCTGAGCTCATATCCAAATGGAGGTGTGGGGGTGAGAGCTGCCCAACTGCTCATGAAAATTCAACTCCCCGATCTCTGGATCACTGTTTCTCTTTGATGTGCACCTGACAGAGCCACTGGAGAACAGTGCTGAATTCCACTTTAAGGCAGAACTCAGTGCATGTTTGCAAGTTGGTATCTTTAGTGTCTTAAAACATTGAATGTGCACAGAAGAAACAGAACCTGCAAAAAAAAAAAAAAGATAAAAAGTTTGCATCAAACTATAAGAGAGAAGGAGATGCCAACTAAAGGAGAGTGTTCAGAAAGAGGCAGGGTCAGTGTGTGGGTGTGAAGAGCCGGTTCTGGTGTCCTGAGGTGAAGCCAGCTGTACATCCCATACACCCACCAGTCTTAAGAGTTCACAGAGAAGCGGTGTTTACCTCCTTGAGGCAACCCATGAAGTTGTTGCTAACTGGAGATCCAGGAAGGTCTGCTGTACTCGGGCTTCCTCCGACATAGAAAAAGTCGTCTGAGCCTAGCATGGTATAGTCTTCCTGTGTGTATCCTGTAGTGGTCAGAATCCCGTCTACGGATATGGTTACCTACACAACAAAGCACAGGGAAAGGACACGCTGTGGGGAGGCAGCCTAAATTCTGCATTGTTATTCCCTTTCTTTCGTTTGTCAATCACGTTTCCCATGTTTATATTCCCAAACCCATTTTCATGTCTGTTTAAATGTCGTTTTTTTCTTGTTTTCTTATTATTTTGTCCAGTTTGATTAGTTGGAACCAAAACTGTTTTGGTTATATAGTTAGTAAACTACCCATACTACAGTGTTAGTATTGGCTTTAATGCAACTTAAAAATACTTTAGCAGACACAAAAATGGTGTTAGTAAAGTGCTATCTAGGTTAGTTCAACTGGTAGTTTAATTTAGTACATTTAGTACTTGTATAAATTAGATCATAACGTGCTACTATGTTAGAAAGGGAGTACATGCAATCACCTTTTTAGAGTAGGAAAAAGGTTGGGGCATTAAAAACATGCATGTATTTGTCTTTTCTTTTTGCTTATAAGTAATCAAAAAGAAATGATTCCCAAATTCTTTATTTGGATACTGAATCATAATGTTTTATGCTTGCCACAGTGTCACTTGCATGCAAAAGCTCGTGGAAAAAGTTTATGAGCACTGCCAAATCACAAAACGAAATAATAAAGCACCAGAGAAGAAATGACAAACACAGCTCAAGTGTTACATTCATGTTGGCAAATGTGCAGTTTGACATTTCCAACATGTAAGTTGAAGAAGATGACATGCAAAGTGGATGGGGATACAACTGGCTGAGCCACAGAGCATCAGTCCAGCCAGACAGGAGGGCGTCCTCATTATTAACCACAGCTTGTTGCAAATAGCTTGAAAATGATGCTCCTACAAAAAAGAGCGGGTGAAACAGAAGTGGACAGAAAACAGGTGGAATAAACAGAGTGAAAACCAATGAATGAACCGAAAAATATAAATAAAAGGATTTGAAAAGTAAGCAGAAGAGTACCAACCGCAATTTCCCTTATTTTGTAAATGACGTCTACAGTAAAAAAAAAAAAAAAAAGAAAGAAAAGAAACACACGGCAAACCCAAACTAAGAAACAATTAGAATGATATCTACCGAACAATGTAGTTTGTTTACCATAGCGTGTCCAATGCCTGAGTGCTTTGTGGAAAAGGGGGGAGAAAGGAAATTAAAAACTGTGAACAGAATAACGACTGTTACTCAAATAATATATGATGGTCAATACTGTTAGTACATTGGTAAACGACAAAACCCATACTGGTTAGTAGAATGGCACATTCCATGAATGATGTTAGTTTGTTTCCAAAGCATGTTAGTGACATAGAGGGGAAAAAAAGGGCAAAATAAGTGTAACAAGAAAAAAGCTGACCAAGAAAAATAGGAAGAACGCTCCCCAAGAGGAGCCATAGCTGAACCAGTGACTCACTGAGATTGTCTTGATATATTTGCACCATTTTCTGTGTGTGCCCTCATGACTAAATTGCAGAAAAAGGCTTCTGAGCCAAAGATCTAACGAAAGATTGTGATTTAAAGATATCATATGGTTTATAAAAAAAAGAATGCCTAAAGCACATCAATTGACCCTCCTTAAGCATTTCCATGTTAAAATATTTATAAAAACCTTATTGTTTTTTTTTTTTCTTTTTCTTTATTATTTATGTGCATTGTAATGCTGTTGTTGTTCAGTCTTCAGCAAATTTCCAATCCAGCGCATCAGACTTTCTGGCACTCACGCAATACGTTACCTTTCATTTGGTCTTACTGATGAACTTTAGGATCACTTTACTGCAATGAGACAAAGAAAAGAGGACCTGACAAGGAATGAGGAGGATGGCTATTCTGATCCCCCATATAGCATGCACTCAGTATGCTCGGTTTTCCTTTTAAACCTGAATGCAGTGAATGTTCAAGTAGGAAAACAGCAGATATTTGCCAATAACCAGAGTGCTGAGTCTGCAAACTAAGAATTTTCAATGCTGAGGTGAAGATAAACACTTCACAGCAAGGGAGCAGGAACAAATCTAGAGATATTTCCCCCCTAGTGTTTATCTAATAATTGGCAACTAGAAAAAAAAAATACACAGTTCTGTTTACCAGTAGCTGAATAGCTTAGCAATAAGTTCTGATTGATAAAATCACAAACAGTGCAAGTGATTTGACTTGTATTATGGTGATTACACAGGTTATGTCTCAATAATCCAATAAAAATGCTCATGTATAAACAAAGGCAATTTCTTGAATTTTTCTACATGGCGGTATCATTGTAATATTTTTTCCTGCCTTTTGTCAGGCTGTTTGGTCTCATTATTCAAATGTACATCATGAGCCCTTTCTCTCCAGAAGCAAAGACTAATTTATATTCTATTTTTAATTCAAAAACACATTACACAAGAATCCTTTGTTAAAATGGAAATACCCTGTTGTACCTTGGCAATACCAACTCATCCATGAGACTAGAATTTTATAGATGAGTAGGAGGGAGGAAAATACATGGGTCAACAAAGCCTACTGACAACCAATTATGAAATGAAAAAGTAGGGTTCATGGGGTTGCAGCAAAGCATTAGTGTTGAAATTGTTAACCCAGTTGTTCTTCTGAGTTTTCCTCTTTAGACACCTATGAAAATGACTAATTCTCATTGAGATCATGTCCCAAATCCCTCCTGAATGCTCTAAGTAGTATCTCTCAGAGAAATAATTAGACATAAGAGCACTGTACAAGTAAAATTTTTTAAACCCGTATCCTTCCGGACTTACTCAGCTGTGACACAAAAAGAAAAAAAAAAAAAGGTAGATGAGTTTCTCAACTAAACTTTTGTCTCCAAGTTGATCAGGGATCCAACAGACTGACAGTGTGTTGATGTCCAAATCTGAAGGCTACTGGGTCATTTCTCAAAGCAGAAAGAAATTGGGGAATTTTAGCAAACCTTTCGGTCAATAGCCATTTCGTTGAGTGAGAGAACAGACTGAAAGGGATTTCGTCATTGTTCAAGATCCACCAAATTTAACTGTGCAATGAACTACCTATGACTCGTTTGTTGCTTGGAGGACTTTATTCAAAGTAAGAAAATACCCAGTTTATTAACTTTAAACTGAGTTGCATTTTTGATTCAAATCTAGATGTCCCTGCTCTCTCGTGGTGCTGTTAAGGTCTCCACCATGAAACACCATGGTTAAATTAAGCAATCCGATTGTTTTGAGAAAAAAAAAATTCTTTTGTGATGGCAATGATCTCAGTGCATTTGTGTTAATTAATTTACTTCATCTCTTCATCACCATTTGTACTGTTACCTGACGTAGATTCCTTGTAACTTTGACATCATGCCAATCATTGTCATTAAATTTCCCATTGACTGGCTCCACAAGAGCTTCAAAGGCTCCAGACCCCAAATTAATGACGAGTGACACAGCCCCATTTTTCAGCGCCAGGTTGACGTAATCAGCAGATTTGCCCGTGTGCAGCATTAGTCCGTTCCTCTGTAGGGTTTTGAATGACAACGTGATTTCATCACTGCTGCTTTGAATTGGGTTCAAGGACAAGTCGTAGCAGAAGAACTCAGATCCTTTGAAGGTTGCAACATACTCTTCTTTTCCTGGGGAGACAAGAGAAAGAGAAATGCGTTTCATCAATGTTGCGGCCTCTTAGGGGCTTATTGGGAAGCTGCCTAAGAAGGATGGAACGCCTCGAAAAGTTGGTCTGTTAAACCTGCTGTAGAGGGACATGTAAAACAGAATAGATTATTATTTTATTATTTTAGAGCTACCTTTTCCTAATTTCAGCACTGCTTTTTTTCAGTATAGCAAAGCTGATGAATTCCCAATGTTGTATATGTGCAGTGGTGACTTGATTATTCATCACTGCTGCAAACTATGCTAGAAAAATAACCTGTAAGAAGCTTGAGATAAATCGACATGTAAAATCCCTGTCCTCTGATCAAATTAATGAATGAAGAGATGCTTTTCTCTTTCTTTTTCATAACAGCCCAACCTTTACTGAAAACCAGCATTAGAAAATATATAAGCAGAAATGTGTCTTTATATAGCCTCAAAAATAAATCAAATTCTCTTTTTTCAACAGTTGCTGATAAAGAACAAAAGCAAGTAGTGGTTACTTTTTCTAAAATTAAATCATCAGAGGCTATAATTTAGCATGTTTCCTTACTGTCATTGTCCATATGATACAACCAACCTAATTTTACCTGATTGTTCAAATATTTAGAATTGGGAAACCTTGAAGAACACTCAGCTATGTTGAACTGTTTGCATTAATCTGTTATTCAGGCCAGATCATCTGCAAACAAACCTGGATTTATATATAACTGCAGTTGTGTACAATAAGTGTTTAGCAACAGGAGTGGCTGAATAGCACATCTACAAAGTACAGGATGTCATTACAATCATCCTTC